TATTTAATGCCACTGAACTATAACCTTAAAAGTTTAAGATAGCAAACATTATATTATGGGTATTTTATTACAATTAAATAAAAGTCAGTATTTGATGCAGTACCAGAAAAATTCAAGAGGCCCTGAAGAAGGTGAACAAGAGATCTTATGGCATTTTATGGCTGACTTAATATCATAAAAACTGGCAATGAACATAACTATATCCCTTGTGGAAACTGTGCATTGCAACTTTTTTCTTTCTTTCTTTTTTTTTAGAACCGGGGATTGAACTCAGGCCCTTGTGCTTGCCAGGGAAGCGCTTAGTCCACTGAGTCCTTTCCCCGGCCCCAGTGCATTGTGACTTGAACCCAAGAAATTGTAGCTTCTATATTTGTGGCACTCCTATCACCAACTGTGCTGCCTAAAAACTGCTGACTGCTGTCTCCAGACATAAACTAACAACAGACTCCTATACTTGTCTATTACTGACTGACTTAACTTCTGATCCTACTAAGCCTCATGACATTGCTTGTCATTAAGGGACACATAAGCCAAAGGGAGAAGCTGAGAATGGTGGCACAAGCCTGTATCCTAGCACTCAAAGGCTGAGGCAGAAGGACATGAGTTCAAGTTCATTCTAGACGTATATAGCAAGTTCAAGGTCACCTTGGACCACAATGAGACTCTGTCACAAATAAAACAAGTAGATGTCACCTCCACCTTACCTTACATGTAATGAACTGTTTAAACTAATGTTAATGAGCACTATGCAAATACAATAAAAAATACCTGTCTTTTCCTAACTCGTTTCTCATGAGTTACTGGTTGATTTGTTGAAACCGGTCTATTAGTGTCTCTTCTGTTTTCCTTTCTTCCACCTAAAATTAAAAATACTATCATCAAAAATTGTTTCACATTAAATGAAAATGAGGAACTATGTTCTGAAGGTCAGTTTTAAGTTTCTAATTATTTCTAGCTACTCTAAGAAAAATTCATATTTAATTTTTTCCTTCAAATCTGGAAGCAGCATGATATGAGTATCACAGTTGCTGAAAATGAGGGGGAGTACTCTCTGCATACTGATTCTTTTTAGGTCTTTTAAAAAACATCCCTGAGGTTCTGAAGCGTACCTATCAATTTGGCATTCTAGGGAGGCTGAGGCTAGAAGATGGCAAAGTTGGAGCTTCGCTTGGGCAATTTAGTATTTACCAAGAACTTACTTCACAATATAGAAGAGACCGAGGCACAGATAAGTGTGAAGGTCCTGGGTTCAATACCCAGTGATCTCCTTGCTCCTTGACCACCCACACAGAAAAAAAACACACAGTATTTGTTTTCTTTTAATGATGTTTAGAGGCACATGATGTAAAACAAGAAGCATAACCTTTTCCTTGCTCCTTTTCCCCCCTTTTTCTTTTTTTAAGAGACAGGGTTTCACTATACAGTTCAAGATGGCCTTGAGCTCACTATGTAGCCCAAACTGGCCTGGAACTCATGGCAATCTTCCTGCCTCAGCCTCCTGAATACTGGGATTAGAGGCGTGCACCACCACGCCTAGCTCTTTGTTCTGTTCTTCTTCATAGTTAATTTGGTAAGCCAAGAAATGTATATATATAGCATATAAAAAATAATTGTAATTATGAAAACATAATAAATGCATAGAGAACTTAAAAGAATCTACAAATAACACAGGTTGGTTAGAAGACCAGTATACAAAAGGCAATACATATACAAAAATATTAAAGAAATACACTTTGAGTAGGAAGACATAATTGTCACACCAAAGTGATTTATTATAATGCAGCTTCAAATAAAAATTTCAAGAGGTCTTAGTGTAACTTAACAATATTCTCCTAAAACTGTTTATATTGGGAGAGGTAGCCTGCTCTGGGCCCTAAGCATTCATGTAATTCTTAAAATGTACAAGGCCTATTCATTTCCTGACATTATGCAGTCCATAGTTATTCAGGAAAATAATTTAGTCAAGAAGTCACAGGGTAACCACTGTGGAACTGCTATCTCCTGGGAGAGGATAGTGCTTTGCTATTTGTTACAGTGTTTTTGCAGCTTACTGCAATGTGCTAAGCCCTTGACCCCAAATTCCTCAGGTATAATGAAACTTGCTTCCTTCATAGCATTTACCTCAGCCCATTCCATTTCCATGAGATATCAGCACAACTGTATTAAGACCATGTTATGTTATGACTGTATACTCTTAACTCTTATCATCTTTCTTTGAAACCTAAGGAGTGTTAGCAGGTTTACTGTTTATGATCTTCTATGGTTGTTTTGTTGCCTGATTGTATGGAAGACCAAAACACTAAGCACAGCAAGATATTTCTGAAGAACATTAGGATTGCACTACCACAAACTGAGTTATTACAAAACTACACTAATTGAAACAATATGAAGCTGGAGTTATAGCTCAGGGACTTGAACATAGGTGGAAATTTGATATATGTATTTGCTAGGCTAAGCTCCAGTCAAGAAAATGGGAACCATAGCAGCTATTAATCCAGATTTATATTTATTTATTTTTGAGACAGGGTCTCACTATGCAATTCAGGCTAACCTTAAACTCACTATGTAGCCCAGGCTGGCCTCGAACTAGATCCTTCTGCCCCTCCAAGTGCTGGGGTTACAGATGACTCTACACCCAGTGAACAGATTTCAATATTCAAGCAACTATTTAACAAGTGTTAAAAGACTAAAAAAAAGAACTATACATACAGTTTTCTTTTAGCAACTGATAATGTAAGTAGACAGTAAACAAGATGAAGACCATCTGAACAGTACTACTAACAAACTTGCCCTAATACTTTAAAATATTCCATTCAACAACAGCTTCTAATTTGCATTCTTTTTCAAGTGTTCATCAACAGTAGCAAAGACAGACTAGACTCTAAGTCATAAAAAAAAAAAAAAAAAAAAAAAGAAAGGAAAGAAAAGTTCTCAAATTTTAGGGTTGGCCAAATAGCTCAGCAGATTAACTAGACTCAAATTCATGATGCTCCTGCCTC